GACGGGCTAAGCGGAGTGTTTTCTGCATCTCGTGGTCACGAAGTCCATCAACAAATGGGTAAGCAAACCGTATCTACTTTATATTCCTGAAGAGTCTCGTTTCTGTTTGCGATTCTTTAAGTGTGATTGGTATAAATGCTCCAAGTGTTTGTCGTTATATCGCATATTTAGTCTCTTTTTGTGTTGCTCAAAATCATCTGTCTCTTCTACGGGTATTGTTTGAAGAACATCTAAAGCGTCTTCTCGAAGGGCGATGGTCAAATTTATTGCCTTCTCTCGTTAAAACCATTCGTTTCCTCTGACAGCTGTTTCGAACTGTTTAATGTAGTTGGTCCATGACATCTTTCCGTCGAAAATTGGGGCTTTAACACGAGCAGAATTTACAGCTCCTTCCAATTTCAACATTGATTCTATCTCATGGCACTTTATTTTACCGTTCTTGGTCTGGTCTACGTGATCCTTTTCTTCTATCTTCTTTTCAATTTATTTTTTCTCCCCTACGGAAGTCATTATTTTCTTCTCAACGGAAGAAATTTCGTTTTTCATAGAAGTCGTATTAGAAGAGGTTTCATCTTTAAAAAAAAAATAAGATTTTGTTTTCCAAATTGGAAGAAATTTCGGTTTTTAAAGAAGATATGTCAGAAAACATCTTTTCTTTCAAGGAAGAATCTTTACTGTCCAAGGAAAAAATGTCTGAAGAAATATTTGTTTTCATAGCGTTTATATCAGCAGACATTTCAGTTTTCAAGCAAGAGATCTTACTTTCCATAGAAGAAGCATCATCCAAAAATAAAAACGTTTCCGGATTCAAACCTTTACATTCTAGTGCTACTTTAAGCAGCTCTGTTAATTATGTTTTCTTCCCTGTCTACAAATCACGATTTTCTAATTTCAACGCAATTTCACCACTTTTAAATAACACAGTTTTTTAGCCATTTTTGTCCACTTTTTATTTACACTTCTGAAACTAATGTCACGTTTGTTTAATTTATTTCTAGTTTATTTAATTAAAACACTTGTACTAATTAATTTATATAATAGTTAGGCACTATTGTAACTCACAATTCTAATTTATTTATTACAATATGTCTTTACTGTACGACATTTCTTTTAAAACTTCCCGTCCGTCGACAAACTCGCGCTATTTATATAAAACCAGCTCTGTACTAGAACATTCTTGGCTTTCTACAACGATCGAGAACTGTCTCTATATGACTAATACGCCGCACTCAAATAGTTTCTCGAAGCGGTGCGTTTGGTCAGCGCTAGACTTCATACCGTGGGTAAGGAACAGAGACGGCTTTCGCGGCACAGTATTTTGTTATGCAACTGACAAATGTTTAGACTAAATAATTTGACATTCGCACCATTCAGATAGTTCAGTTCAATAAAATTATGGGCTCATTAGCTGTTGATAAATTTACAAGCCTTCTTGCAACCGGGTGTCAATCTGTAAAAGGTCTTTACAAAAACATACCACATATTCCTTAGACCAAAATAAGTCGATTTAAGTAAAATTACCTTAGTACAAAGTTGCTTCGTTTGGGCTCCAGAGGGCCTTGAAGTTACAATTTTTAAATCGTTTTTTCCCATATAAATTTAAAACGGCATATGCGATTTTGCTGAAATTTGGTATATTGGTAGAGTTTTATGCGGCAAAAAAATTGGTGTTAAAATTTTGTCCGATAATAATACATAGGCGTAGAACTTGATTTTTTAAATAATTGCACCTTTAAAAATTCTACGCCAATGGAAGAAAAGGAGTTTGAGTATGAAATTTAGATTGCGCAACTCATTTACTTTAAAAAAGGTACTCTTGATAAGACTCGATTACTCTCATGGTTTTGACGAAATTTGCATTTTAGTAATTTTAGAACATAAACAACAATTATTAAAATACAAACTTTGTCAAAACCATGAGAGTAAATCGAGTGTTATCAAGGGTACTTTTTTGTAGTAAATGAGTACCCAATCCAAATTTCATACTCAAACCCCTTTTCTGCCATTGGCGTAGAATTTTTAAAGGTGCAATTATTCAAAAAATCAAGTACTACGCCTATGTATTATTATCGGACAAAATTTTATACGATGAAAAACATAAAAATGTACTTTTTTCATATCTTCTTCAACACCTCTAATCGAGACTTTTCAACAAAAATACTCGATTCTTGCCATGTACGATTTTTTGAGGAATATTAATTATTTGCCAGCAATATGTATACAAAAACATTTATTGTTGGTTTCCATAGTTTCATCTAAATAAAAATATTGTCAAGTTTTAACACCTAATCTCTTGTTAACGATTGAAAGTGTTCTATCTGACTCAATAATTAAAAAAACAAATGCGTGGTTTATTAATATGGCTGTACAATATACCAATGCAGAATATACCGATATGTTACTGACATTAGGATTTTGTGAAGAAAATGCTCGAGAGAGTGTCAGGGTGTACCCGGAAAGGTTTCCAAATCGTCGTGTACCTAGCCACCTAACTTTTACTGCTGTTGAAAGACGTCTTCGGGAGACCGGTTCCTTTGCTCCCAACACTGTTGATAATGGAAGAGAACGTTTTGGAAGGATTCCTGAAGTTGAAGAAGACATTTTAGAACGTGTTGAAGATGATCCAGAATTAAGCACCAGACGAATTGGAAGGGAACTAGAAGTAAGTAAAGATGTCGTTCATAAAGTGCTTAGAGAACAATTGCTATATCCATACCATAAAAAGCCAGTACAAGAATTATTAGTCCATGATCCTCAAATTCGTTTGGGTTTTTGTCGATTTGTTAATATGCAAAGAGAAAGAGATCCAAACTTTGTCAAGAAGATTCTCTTTACCGATGAAGCGGGTTTTACAAGAAGAGGTATAACTAATACCCATAATGAACATGTTTATGCCGTTGAAAATCCGCATGCAATAAAGGTAAACCATTTTCAGCACGAATTCAAAATTAATGTGTGGGCTGGAATAATTGGTAATTTTATTGTTGGTCCTGTCATACTTTCACGAAGATTAACTGGAGAAGATTATTTGGATTTTCTACAAAATACGTTGCCAGAATTGTTAAGATTTACCTCTCCAACTTCGGAGAGATATGTGGTTTATGCAAGATGGAGCTCCACCACATTTTTCTTTAAACGTTAGAAACTACTTGAATGAACAATATCCACACAAATGGATAGGCAGAGGTATTGACGCACCTGTAAACTGGCCACCACGTTCCCCAGACCTAACATCGATGGATTACTTTTTATGGGGACATCTGAAATCCACAGTTTACAGGGAACCTGTAAAAAATGAGGAACAGCACTGGCAACGTATTCAAGATGCAATAATCAATCTTAGATTTGATGAAGAAGTTATGGAAAGGATACATTTTAATTTTCTTCGACGTATAAATCTTTGTATGCGTGAAAATGGTGAACATTTTGAACAATTTTTGTAAAATCTCTATTTTGATTATGTTGTAAATAAATATTTTTGTGAAACCTATACACTCTAAATTATTAAAACAGAAATTTAGCGAAAACCATGAGAGTAATCGAGTCTTATCAAGAGTACCTTTTTTTAAAGTAAATGAGTTGCGCAATCTAAATTTCATACTCAAACTCCTTTTCTTCCATTGACGTAGAATTTTTAAAGGTGCAATTATTTAAAAAATCAAGTTCTACGCCTATGTATTATTATCGGACAAAATTTTAATACCATTTTTTTTGCCACATAAAACTCTACCAATATACCAAATTTTAGCAAAATCGCATATGCCGTTTTAAATTTATATGGCAAAAACGATTTAAAAATTGTAACTTCAAGGCCCTCTGGAGCCCAAACGAAGCAACTTTGTACTAAGGTAATTTTACTTAAAGTGACTTATTTTGGTCTAAGGAATATGTGGTATGTTTTTGTAAATACCTTTTACAGACACCCTGTATATTAGTTTTAAAAATTCAGAAGGCGAAATTTCGACATCTCTTACCGTCGTTTAAGTTTTTTGTAAATCTTTTAAATAAGTGTTTTTTAATAATGCAACTTACAACAGACAAAAATAGTTTTAGTATATGGGGCTGCTGACGAAAAAACTCGGCAAGCGCAATTCTTGATTCAAATTAACAATTTTTAGACTTAATTTCAAGATAATGATTTTTTTTTTAAGACGAACATTTGGAACAATATTAAAGTTTTCGGTCTTACAGATGTATTATGTCCAAATATAGAGGTCTATTTTTAAATTATTTTTAATTTTGTATGCATATGTTGGGGATTCAATTCAACACTTTTAGCAATGCTCTAGTTTTTGTTTACCATTATAAAAATAACTGTTCCAAATATCAAAAAAAAAAAAACAAAAACAAATGTTAAGTATTATAAATGTAAAATTTCCCTGTATACTGAAAATTAAAATTTAAAAAAACATCGTAATTTAACTAAACAAAAATTGTCTGATCATTTTTAACTAGATCAAAAACACCTGTCTAATAATAGATGTTAATAATTATATACAAATCGCAAAAAATGCATTGACCTGCCTGGCTTGTACAACTTGGAAAAATGCCACTGAGTAAAATACAAAACAAATTCGCTAAAAACGAATTACTAAAAATAATAAGAACTAAATCAAAACATAAAACGATTTTCTTTAATAAAAAGTACTATCTATTTAATAAAAAATATCAATTTTTCAAAAGTAAAATAAATATTTAAAACGTTTCTCTATATTTTTGAATATTTAGAGGTATTATTCTAAATATTAAGGATACAACTTTTTTATTATCCCAATAAATCCAATGTTGTATGTATATTAATATACTGCATTTAGTAACACAGCTAAATATATATTTTTTTTAATCGAAGACTTTTGAACCAGTCTAAATAAAGAAAGATACATGGCAAAACTCATTTATTGACCATTGACTAATAAAATCCATTTTCACTGTTAAACTTATAATCGATTTAGTATAAACAACCCTTAGATTAGATCAATCGGCCAAAATTATGTACTTACCTCCACACCACGGCGGGTATTCTTCTTGAACTGCGAAACTTAGCCACGCTCTCCAACATGTCATCATTTATACAGGATGGGACGAGGAGATAGGGCGGGTAAGTAGGACAAAATTTATAATTTTCATTGACTTTGGAAATTCTCCAAGAATGGCCTTGGAATCCAAGGCGGCACATCTAAAAATAAATGAAAAATATGTGATAAAACAAGTGATAAAAGGTATAATGTATTATTTACCTCATTTTCGAACAGTCTTCTATCAAAAGTGTACTGGCGTTGGTTTTCTAAGCGCATGATGACTTCCTCGCCGCCTTTTTCTTTGGACCATATGCAATGGTAAAATGCGAATAGTTGCTCCAACTGACGTGGCGGATCTGCAGCCTTGAGGATGCGGTCGTACCAAATCTGGCATTTTTCGTTATTCTCAAATGTGCAGCTGTAAAAACAATATATTGTAGAGATTAACACTTAATTTTATAAAACAAAATGACCCATATCCCAAGTAATTCAAAAATCAAGAAATTAAATGAAAATGGCTATTCTCAGTGACCAACTTAAGTATCAGTTTTGTCAATAGGTCAGTGACATTATTTTGCATATACAGGGTGTTTCCGAACTTGGCGTCCAAATTTGTAGGGGTGGTAGTTCGCATAATTTGAGAGCGATTGGCAGATTTCATTTTTCCAAAATATTTAAAATAAAAATAATTAAAAAATGTTAAACAGTTACGGTCCTGCACAGCGATGGGAGCGCCCTCGAGCAATACGCACTAGAAAAACAAACGGCTACGTCTTTCGATACCGGCCGGGTGGAGGGAGAAATTTGCAAATCGCATCTGTTTTTGAGTTGTAATGCCGGATGAGTAACAGATCAAGCGACTATTGCGCTACGCGCTCAGGGTAGGACCTGATTTTTGATTTTTTTATAATGGCTCTATTTTGTTTATTATATTTTTTTTAGAAAAATGAAATCTGCCAATCGCTCTCAAATTATGCGAACTACCACCCCTACAAATTTGGACGCCAAGTTCGGAAACACCCTGTACGTATACAATTTTTGATTTTGAATGCATATATTGACATTTTGTTAATTTTTTGGCATATATCTGACGTACTAATTGGCTGGACATATTAAAATTATGAGTTTTGGACCAAAATAATATTTTGTGAAATGCCTTTACAGGTCGATTTCCTAAAAATTTGAAGGATTAACTTTTCCCTGCAATAAATTACGGTTAATGGTGTAGGTACTTGAGAGGATTAAATTATAAACACCCTCCTTAAACCAACAAATTTTGCTAAATATCCTTTCAAGTACCTAGTTGTATTAATATCTTCAAATTTCTAAATGACTCAGTTTATTTTCAACTTCATTTCAGTTTTTATTGTTGTGTTGTGTTAACCAGTGGGAAAAATGGCAAAATTAATTGAGTCGTGGGTAAAATGTTATTCAAATTTTTTTGTAGAAGGTGATAACCAGGTGTTTTGTAAAACATGTTCTAAAATTGTAAGTACTTTTTTATTTTATATTTTATTTTGACCTTTCACAATGGTAAATCAAACGACAGTAAAATATTATTTCAACTCACATTTAAAAAAAAAGTAGGGCAACTTTACAACGTACGCATTTATTTAATTTAATTAAAGGAATTACAGGAATTTATTTGTTTTAGATTCCATGTTAAAAAAAAGTTTCAAATCGACCAACACGCGAGAACACCCTCACATATAGCAAAGCAGAAATCTAAAGACACTCGCAGACAAAGTCAACTTCCCTTGAAACAATATTTAGAATCTGGATCGTCTAGAACAAGCTCTCCTCTTTTTTTAACTTTGTTACATCGAAAAATTTTACTTATATTTCCTTCTGTGTCGACGTTTTTATAAGTAAAACTCCACACGTGCTCCATTTGAACTGCAGCCACTGCAGAAGCCTTATTCTCAAACATTTTCTCCATTTCCCATTTCTTATCTATTTTCTTCCTTCTCATCGTGATCGCCTCTTCATTTTTACTTTCGGAACTTGTTTCATATTCTGGTACATTTCCCATATCGTACCGTTGCAAGAAACTCAGAGCACGAGTCACTTAACCTTACTTCTCAGAAACTAATAACACGCCAAGTGCGTTAGCGCGTATACAGACACACCTAAACTGACCTAAAAACATAATAGGTACTACTTATTTAATGCACATTTTCAAAATTATTACCTACTACTGCATACTGGCCATTTATTAATTCTTACTGACCATTTGTAGAATTATTCATACTGACATTTTATTATTTTTTACTGACCATTATAATCACAAAAGTGAACATAGAAATACAGGCCAAATAATAATTTTACTGCTCCAAAATTCAATGTTTACTCATCATATTTTATAAAAGTACTGAGTCTTTTAAAATATTTTACTGACTGCTTGTAATATTATACTGTACATAAAGAATTAAATACTGTTCAGTTTATTACAACCCTTATAAATTGTAATAATTTCTGGGCAGCTAACTTCTTTATATTGTTTATTTTTACGGTCAAATGTTCTAGCAGTCGTTTCCGGTTTCTGTCCCGAAAAGATAGACAAGAAATTATCAATTTTGTTGTCTTTCCGGGATATGCAAGCGATATCAATTCGGTCAGCATTTCCAACAAATTCAACAGATTTTTCTCTCATTTCAACTCTTGTTCAGTTGGAAGGAAAAATGCCTTGTTTACGCAAGTACGCCATGAGGGGCAGAGAGGCAAAAAAGTTTTTAAAGTAGTTTTTGTAACGCTTGAATTTAGTAAGAACTCATGCTAGGCGAACCACTACATTTGAACTTGCCCTCAGGTCTGGTTCATCTACAGGTATCTCATTTAAATTGTTTTGTTGTCCCGTACAGACTTCAAATGCATAGGCATAGCCAGAAACACCACAAAAAAATAATTTAAACCCCCACTTATGTGGCTTGTTTGCCATATATTGCTTAAGATGATGTCTTACTTTGGTGGCACAAATCTCCTCGTCGACTAACAAACTTTCTTCAACAGGAATAGATAGAAAGTTTTCTTGTAAGCTGGCAACTATAGGACGAATCTTATGAAGCTTATCAAATCCTTGCTGCCCAACAAAAATTTGGGTTTCATTGTTATTAACATGTAAGTTAGAACGCAATATTTCAAAATTATTTAGGGACATCACTTCTTTTACGAAATCTTTTCCAGTTACATCAGCCCAGTAGTCTCTTATATTTGTGCAATAAGAAACCGAAGTAAAGATGCAAATACCTATGTATTTTTGAATATCTTTTTTTTTATATGTTCCGGTTTATTGCGAGTGCGCTAAGCAGTGTATAAAGTTGATTCTTCTGCATTTTTTTACCATAAAGCCTCATCAAAAAAACAATTGAAGAACCTATAAGGAGAATCTAGCTCTAATATTTCTGGTTTGAGATTTGTGTCGCCAAGAAACTCTTTTTCTGGTTCAGGGAATTCTGTTACCTTTCTTCCAAATAACTTTTTTACTAATTTCAACAACTTTTTCTTTTGAGGAGGTAGCGCTGCTAGATGGAACCGCTTTGTTAGTACCAATTTTCTCACGAATTTTCTCTAGGCTTTCAGCAATGACATTTTGGGGCACAGTTAGGTCTAATAAATCGCCTTCATCTCAGAAATCTTCAAATTCTACCTCATCTTCACTTTCTGTAGGGATGTTTACTAAATCCAACAATTCTTCATCAGTAAGATGATTTTTCTTATCAAATTCCTTCCAAAAATATATATTGCCTAAGTGCATGTTGTTTCACATATGATACACATAAAATAATGCAAATTATTTATTCCATACCTAGTAAAGTTCAATAAAAATGTATAAAAAATTATCTACTTACATGCTTGGATGCTACTAAATATTTAGTTCCCCGATAAATAAGAAAAACACGTAATCCGCAGTAAAATAAAAATGTTGTTTACAATATTGAAAAAACTTTATGACTACTATGTTTTTAGCTTTAACGTATATTGTTACACATATAATAATTTTCTAGTTTTTGAAACTGCTAATAGATTGCGGTAGTACGAATAAATAAGAGGTGTTTCAATTATGATATATTATGCATTCAAGAGTTAACACATTACTTCTTACTACGGCGTTATAACCAAACAATTTTTAGGGTTAGTACAGCTATCATGAGGTTCATAAATAGGCCTAAAGCAGGATTGTCACCGGTATTATTGGAGTTAATACAATGCACAACACTTCTTCAGTCTTAATTATTATATACTAAAACAAGCTATTTTTAATGAAGATTTATGCAAAGCTTTAGTGACTTCAAATATCCCTTTAATACGATTAAATAATCCAAATCTCCGATCGTTTTTGCAAAAATACTGTAAATTTAATATTCCAGAGCAAAGTATATTACGCAAACGTGGTGTTGACAGTTTGTACATTGAGACTCGTGAAAAAATTCGTGAGATTACCGTTGGAAACCATTTCTACATTATTGTGGATGAAACAACACTCTTGTGATCGATATATAGCCCATTTAATGATAGGTTCATTACGCGAAAAAATGCAAATTGGTCCATATCTAATCGCTTCAAAGCAATTAGATAAAACAAATAACTTGACAATAACTCGTTTTATCCAGACAGAATTAATTGTCTTCCTTTTTTCTTCCAGAAGCCGTTCCAACAGAAAAATGTTTATTGCTGTTATCCGATGCTGTCCCGCATGGTAAAAGCCGCAAAAAATCTAAAAATGTTTTATGAAAACATGTTACATGTTTGGCTCATGGCCTTAACAGAGTTGCAGAAGAAATTAGGTCTAACTTTCCTTTAATAAATGATTTAATTAGTAATGTAAAAAAAATATTTCTTAAAGCTCCTCTAAGAACTCAATTGTACAAAAAAAAAATTCCTGAATTACAGATGCCACCGAACCTGTGATTACTCGGTGGGATACCTGGCTTAAAGCTGCCTTTTTTTACGGAGATAATTATGAAAAAATTAAAGAAATCATATTTGATTTTGATGATTCATCTAAGGAAATATCTAATACAAAAAAGTTGTTTGAAAATCACATATTACCAAAGCAATTAGTGTTTTTAAAAAATTATGCATTTGTACCCAAAATTATATTAGATTTAGAACAAAAAAATTTACCTTTGGTGACTTCCGTAAATTTAATTAAGACGTTTGAATCAGAGTGTTAAAATGTCCAGGGCGATATTGGAAAGACGATTTTTCATAAATTTTCAAATGTAATTTTAAAAAATGAAGGATTTATTGTTTTAAGAAACCTTGCTAATATTTATTCTGGTAACTTTGAAGATATTAATACTATTCATCCAGATATTTTAGGAAAATTTAAGTTTGCTCTTATTACTTCTGTAGATGTCGAAAGGAGTTTTTCTTTGTAGAAGTACATACTTACTGATAGGAGACAATCATTTAATA